CAGTGTCAGCCTCAAGAGGGTTGAATAAAACACCAACTGGACAAAACATCTAGGTCAAGAACTTGGCAAGTGATTGATAAACTTGGCAAAAGCATTTTTGAGTTGGCATCAGGCTTGAAATCATTTGGCAAACACAAGAGATGGATTCAAATTCCAGGAGAGAAGAGCAGATGTGGAAGTAGCCATTGACTTTTTTTCGGAGAAACCTGAGAGTAAGGAAACATGTAGGCTTCTCAGTGGGACTAGGGTAGACTGGATGCAGATTTGTTTCCTTCCCACTTACCAAGATGGAAAATAGGAGAGATATGAGGACATCTGTACAGTCGGCAGAAAAATCAAGAGACCAAAAGAAGATTACTGATGCCTCCTCCCAGGCATGGTAGAGTGATGAAATCACAGCACAAATGATGCACAGCTTCAGATGGAGAGGCAGGGAGGGGGAGAAGTGTGCTTTCACCAGTCATCACAACACAGGGGACAAGAAATCGCTCAGAAGTCTTTTTCATATGGTTGAGAGGGATGTATGCCCATCTGTATCACTGAGTAGGATGGGGAAATTCAGTTACTGAGGAAGGCAGTTGGGAACATTTTTTTTGTCCTATGTCCAGAGGGGAGGAGGTGGAAGGGGCCACTGCTTGCTGCTAAACTACATTACCCTCGTGAATGGAGTGCAGTCAGGAACGTGGTGCAAAGCTTGGCCTGTGGAATTGTCTAACCTGTTCTGTTTTCCATCCTCTGCTGAGGCAGTTGATGACCTTGCTGGTCTAGATGAGCTAGATGTCATATCCCCTTTTTGCAGCTTGGCATGCTGTCTGCTGCATAGGCATCAGCAACTGGGGAGGCCCAATGCTGATACATGTATGTACCCCAAGGCTGGATCACATATCCTGTGACCAAGGTCTGAATCCAGTGGTCTAGTTGGGGAGTCCCCCAAGAAACTTCACCTGGAGTGAGCTCATATTTGATTCTTGTGTGCAAGGTCAGGTTTGGTCTGTCACCTTCTCCAGCCAATGCACATACCAGTGGATGCACCTTCCTAGTCAGTTCTACCCCAGCCCCATACTCCACATAGAGTAACAGGTGCTACAGCCCTGCCCAGCCAACCAACCGCAGACTAGTCCTCATGCATCCCAGCAGGTGCTGCAGCCTAGTTAGTGCAACCCCTAAATTTCCCTACCGGGCCTGATCTCAGCCCTGATTTTTGCATGTGCCACCGTCTGCAGCAGCCTAGCCTAACTCAATCCATATCCCATCTATCTCTCATGCACACTCATGACTTCTGTGGCTTAGTTCAACCCGACATGTACCCAGACCCAGCTATCACATATGCCGGTACATTCTGCTGCTTTGTCCAACCTGGCCTGATCTCAGCCCTAGTTCCTGTGCTCACCAGTGATAGGTATGGCCTACCAAGGGAGGGCCCACAGTTCCCCTGCAAGGCAAGTTCCTAACTCCAGATCTTGCACTTGCAGAAGGGCATAGTGGTCCAGCCCAACATGACTGGCATCTAATCCTAGCACTTGCAGGTGGTGCTCTGGCCACCCTAGCTGGTCCTCACCCATTCTGAGTCTCATGCACACCAATGAGTGCAACAGCCTAGCCCAGCCTGGCCAGTCCCAAGTACCATCTTTCACACTCATCCATGGAAGCAGCAGCCCAGCAAAAAGTCCCTGAAGTTCCTCTATCAGGCCTGCTCCTAGCCTCAGATCTTGTGTGTGTTGTCAGGTGCTGCAGCCCAGTCTAAATGCCCTGCCAATAATCTCAGCATTCACCAGTAGGTGCTACAGCCTGACTCAGCCCAACCTGCCTCCAGTTCTAGCTCTCACTGATGAGTGCAGCAGCCTAGCCCAGACAGACCCACTCCTGGCACCAGCCCTCATGTGAACGTGCAGGCGTTGTGGCCCAGTTCAGCCCGGCCTGCATCCTGTGCTGGTTCTCACTTATGCCAGAGTGGACTATGAACTGACCCTTCCTGGCAAACTCCCAAACATGACTCACACACCTGCCATTGGGTGCTGCATCTCAGTCTGGTCTAGCCTTCCCCTAGCCCCAGCTGTCATGCTTACCAGGTTGAGTTCCAGAAAGGCACAGCCTGGCTGTGAGTTCCAGCCTGGCTCTCAGCATATCACCACCTCCCACTTTTTGCATAAACCAGTGGATGCTGCAGTCCCACAGAGGCGAACCCACAATTCCAATACAGAATCTGTCCCCAGATCTGAATTTCTCACATTCTGGTGGGTTCTACAGCACAGTTTGACATGACCTATCCCCTGCTCTTATCCTCATAGGCAGGTACTGTGGCCTAGCCCTGCCTGATGCCCCAGTCCAGCTTTTGCATGTGCCTGCAAGTGATTCATGACACTATTTAGTCCAGTTTAGGTCTCCCGTGTGAGCAGGTGTTTTGGCCTGACTCAGACATGCCCTCTAGTTTCCCTCCCCTACAAGCAACCCCATCTCAGTTTCCTTGCCCACCTGTGAGTGCAGAGGGCCAGCAGAGGAAGACCCTAGAAGTCATCCCTCCTCTGTCTTCCACATCCATCCCATGCCAATAGGTCCCCAGATCCTTTTCCTCATCTATCTGTAGCCCTGTTCCCCAAACCTCCCTTCTTAGGGGTGAGGTGGCATGTCCCAGCCTCACGTTCCCTGCCTTCTCCATTCATCTTTTAAAAAAACAAATAAATACAGAAAAAAAGAAGAAACAATTGTGTTGGCATATTGGTAGGATTCACACAAATGCATTATCCAGGCCCAGAATGCAAACCAGCTACTTAGGCAATTGCCTAGATTGGGAAAATACATTTTTTTAAAACATTCCATATGTCTTCTGAATGTCTTCTCATGTTGGAATCAGCCAGATTATGTCGCTCACCTTTTTAACAGAATTTATTGCTCTCCTAAGGCTCTGGGTTCTCAGAATTTAACCAACATGCGAATCTCCAGGTTCTTGTTGAAATCACAGGTACCTGGACTCAACCTCAGGACTCCTAACTCAGTAAGTCAAGTTTAGTCAAGTTTAAACAGATAACAGATAACTCACATGCAAGTAATTTGAGGACCCACGATGAGTGGTGTTGCTATAAGAAGTGAATGGGGGTGTTTCAGAAGGTTTCATCCACTGCAACAGAGTAGCTGAGAAACTTTGAACAAATAAACTCGAAGTAATTTGGTTTTTGTTTGTTTTTACTTTTGTCTTTGATAATTACATGGTTGATTAAGGTGAGAAGGGTAAAGTGTTCAAGGAAAGTGGGAGAGACCATTGTTCTCACATTACTTTTTTGTCTTCCTGTGTGTGGGAGAAGAGGTAAGATAAAAGGAGAAGCCACACTCAGTCTCCCAACCACCTTTATACCCTGGGACAGGAAGCAGCCACTCAGCGTCATACCAGGGTCCCCACTGTGGGGGTATGCTCCAAGGGTCCTGGTCAAGTGGCTTTGGTAGTTCAGTAGTTCTGAACTGCCATTGAAATCACCACTTGAAGCACAATGAAATCTTTCCAGGATCCACTGGCTGACATAGTCCACCTTAGTCTCCATTTGCCCAGATATTCACTACCAACACTTGGCTGAGGTAGTTTACCAATTTGGTCTGCCCTCCATCCTCTGCTATGGTGCCAGATGGCCTCTGCAGGCTCCGGTGGATTGTCATACCCTCTATGTGCATCTGGATATGCTATCTGCTGCTCCATCTAAGTCCCTAAGGAGACCCAGCTCTGACACATGCACTCTATAGTCAGACTATGAAACCCGCAATTCTCTCCATGATTAGAGCTCTCTGAGTCCGGTGGTTCAGTCAGGGGGATCCCTCAAAAAACTTCATGTGAGATGATCTCAGAATTGATTCTTGGTTGTGCTTGCCAACACAGGTCTCGCTCAATCTGTCACCCATATCGGCCTATGTACACACTAGTGTTGCAATTGCTGGGTCAGTTATGTCTCCAGCACCATCTACTACACAAACCAATGGGTGTTGCAGCCCCGCCCTATCCTGCCCACCACACACTCAGCCTCCATGTATACCAGTGGGAGTTATGGGATAGTCAGAGCGACCCCTAACCACCCTTGCCAGGCCCACCTCTTGCCTTGATTCATGTGTTTGCCAGTATTAATAGCAGACTGGTCCAGTCTGGCCCATATCCCATTCAGCTCTCATACACATCGGTGGACATTGAAGCCTAATTCAAACCAACCAACCCCACTATCAAGCCCACACTGGTGCTGGTGGGTGCCACTCTCTGTCTAGCGAAGCCCTCCCCCAGCCCTGGTTGTCATGCTCACCAGTGGGAGTGGCAACCCAAGAGGGAGGTACCCACAGTTTCTCTACTGGGCTCACCCCCAGTACTGGATCTTGCAATTTTCAGGTGGTTCCACAGTTTAGTTTGACAGAATTTGCTCCAGTGTCAGCAGCTGTGAGCTAATAGTGCAGCAAAATCCAACCTACCTGTACCCACTCTGGCTTATGCATGCACCAGCGGGTACGGTCTGCTCAGCCTGTCTTTCTCCCACCCCCAACCCAGCTCACAAGCAGACCAACAAATGTTGTAGCCCTATCAGGTCTGCCTGCCCCTAATCCCAGCTCTCATGCTCACCAGTGGGAATAGTGGCCAGCAGGGGATCCCTCTACTATCCCCCTACCTGGCTCACACCACGCCCCAGCTTGGGGGGTCTCACATATGCTGGTTGGGTGCTGCAGCCCAGTCTGGCATGGTCTGCTTCATCTCAGCACTTGCCAGTGGGTGTTTTAGCCTGGCCTGGGTCTATCCTCTACCCAGTTCCAGCTCACACTGGTGGAGGCTACAGCCTAGCCAGCCCAGCCGGCCCCCAGTCCTGGCCCTAATGTGAACTGGCTTGTGTTGCGGTTTGACTCGACTTGTCTTGTTCCTTATTATGGTTCCCAGATCTGCCAGAGGGTGATATGAACCGGTCCAACCTGGCCCACCCCGAGACCTGAGCCATATGTATGCCAGTTTAGTGTAACCTGGCCTGGTCTGGGTTGCTCCTTACCTTGGTTCTTGCACTCACCTGCAGGGACTGTGTCCTGACAGAGGAGTTCCCCAAGTTCTTCCATCAGAACATCTCCCAATGCCAGATCCATGCTAAGCAGCCCAGTTCAGGCCTCCCATGTGGGCTGGCACAATGGTCTGACCCATAAAGGTCCTCCAGACTTTCCCTTCCAAACTGCAAGGTCTCATTTCCCTCGCTTACCTGTAAGTACAGAAGCTTTGTCATTGGAAATCTCTCAGGAGTCATGTCTACTTGTAACACACATCCACATGGTCCTCCCTCCCCCATATCCCCTGCCCTTTTCCCTAATCAATCCATGATCCGTGTGCCCAAGAGTACATGGGTTCTCCAGCCCAGCCCTTGGAAGCCTAGTGGGTGGTGTGCTGGTCCAAAACTCTACCCACCCACCAGAGTCCCAAGCTCTTGGCACATGTGTTGTCTAGTGCCTTACACCTGCATACACCCAAAGTCCAGGCCCATTGAAGGTCTCCAGACCTTGTCCACTAGCACACCAGCTCAGCACTCTAACCTGGGACTCTCCCCTCTGCTCTCCTCACCTCACTCAGGACCAAGCACATGGAGAAATCCCCAGGTTTGCTCCACCTGCCTGGAAGCGAGCTCTCAGGTCTCCACATGCCCTATCAGTACTATGCCCTAAGACCTCCCCCAAACCTCCAACCCCACATCCTCAGGCAACCATGAGCTGGCACCACCCCTCTGCCAGCTTGGCACTTGAATGGCATCACAGAGTAATTTGTTTATAACATTTCTGAACAGGATGTGGTTTGAGACACTAAGAAGATAATGTTTTGTTTTATAAGTTTTCTACAGGAAGAACACAAATTGAAGCAAGAACATTCAAGAAATGGTGAAGTTGAGTGAAAGAATAGTAAAATAATTGACCACTTATGGAAATGTACAGAAATCACACCTCCAAGCAAATGACTATCTTACAAATGTGCAACTCATTAGGGGTGAGACAATGTTGAAGATGAAACCCAGAGTAACAGACCAGCAACATCATATTGTTAGGGAAAAAATAAAAGTTATCTTTGCGCTTTAACTGAAGTGAACTGACAATTCACAGAGAAATAATAGACAACACTCTAAATAGATGTTAGTTCAATTTACACAATTCTGACTGAAAATTTTAGGGGAAGAAATTTTATTACAAAGTGGGGTCAAAACTTTTGTGATCAGATGAGCTGCAATCAGTAGAAAAACATTTTTTTCTGGAGAATTTTAACATAAGATGAAACACAAGTTTACTACATGACCCTGAAGACCAGGCACAACCAAACTAATGGCTACTAAGACGTCAAAGTAGTCCAGTCAAAGCAAATAAAGATCAGTTAAGAACAAGGACTGGGTCCGGCACCATAGCATAGAGGTCAAAGTCCTCACCTTGCACGTGCCGGGATCCCATGTGGTCGTTAGTTCTAATCCTGGCGGCCCCACTTACCATCCAGTTCCCTGCTTGTGGCCTGTGAGAGCAGCCGAGGACGGCCAAAATCCTTGGGACCATGCACCCACGTGGGAGACCCGTAGGAGCTCCTGGCTCCTGGCTTCAGAACGGTGCCGTACTAGCCATTGAGGCCGCTTGGGGAGTGAACCATTGGATGGAAGATCTTCCTCTCTATTTCTCCTCTCTGTATATCCTTTCCAATCAAAATAAATAAATCTTTACAAAAAAAAAAAATGGACAAGAACCAAACCAAGTATTTCGGGTCAAAGGATGACAACCTATGCCTATTAGGGGAGTCACCAAGCAACCACCTCACAGTCCAGACTGGCTCTTCACTTATTTTTTTCATTCATATACTTTAATAATAAACACAACCTCAGGCCTGGCAGGATGACTCAATGGCTAAAATTTCGCTTTCCAAGCACTGGGATCCCATATGGGCTCCCATTTGCATCCCAGCTGCTCTACTTCCCAATCTGACTCCCTGCTTGTGGCCTAGGAAAGCAGTCAGTGACAACTCAGGGCCTTGGGACTCTGCGCCCTCGTGGGAGACCCAGAAGAAGCTCCTGGCTCCTAGCTGCGGATTAGCTCATTTGGAGAGTGAACTAGTGGATGCAAGACCTTTCTCTCTGCCCCTCCTCTCCATAGATTAATCATAGATCTACCTTTCCAATAAAAAAATCTTTTTTGAAAATCATCTAAAAATAATAAACATAATTTTATCACAATGGTAAAAACATATTCTAAATCGTGAGGGTTTTTTATTACTACTATTACAAAACAACAACAACAAAAAAAAAAACCTTAAGAGCTCACAAAGTCTTTTGAAGACACAATGAGTGCCAAGCCCTGTGGATGTGCTTAATGGACATAATAGGTAAGATGCAGAAAATCAGCTTTGAATTGTCTACCTTTCCCCACCTATAGACCAGAATCAGCTCAATACTAATTTCATATCTGAAGTATATACATTCTGCTAAGCAATAATACTTTTCCAGTTTGGTATTTCTCGCCGTGGTTATGATTGTCCAAGCCACACAATCAAACCCAAGGAAAAAAAATGGAAGATAACATTATCAAAGATATACTTCGTATACTTTATAGTTAGTTACCTTTTTTGTTTACAATGCTCTCATTAGTGATGAATTTAGCTGTTACTTAAAAATATTTTGATGAAATATTAACAGATTATAAGCCATGTTCTTTCTTTTGTGCTCCAGTTAACAGAGTGGCTGAATATTAACCACCAAAAAATGGTTTCCCATAAAACGGAAACTGTGGTCATTTAAAACAGAAAGTTACTTCAATGAACTTCATAGGAACACTGGCCATTGTTACAAATGAGACTACCTTGGAACAGGCTCCCAACGTTCAGGAAACAAGCAAAGGAAAATGGGTATCATTAAGCTGAAAAAGCTCTGCACAACCAAAGAAACAACAAAGTATAAAGACAACTTAGAGAATGGGAAAAAACTCTTGCAAGTTATAAATCTGCCAAGGGATCATTAACTAACATGTGTAAAGGCTTAAAACAACTCTATAGCCAAAAAAAAAAAAACCTAGATAAAAAATGAATAGTAGATCTAAGTTAGTACTCCTTAAATGAAAATAAATGTTCAACAGGCACTTGAAAAAATGATCAACGTCACTAATTAACAAAGAAATGCAAACCAAAACCACCAAATCACCTCAATCCTGTTAGATTGCCTAGTATCAAAATGGACAAATCCAATGACAGCTGGACAACCTTGGCCACTTTTCCTAAGAATGTAAATTAGCATAGCCATTGTGGAAAATAATATATTGAGCCTCAAAAACTAACAGGACTATCACATGATCTATCAATCCTAATTGTAGGTATATAAACAAGACAAATTGAATTCATCCATTGGGAAAAAAAATTCTCCCACATTCATTGTATTAGCCAAAAATGCAAATAATCACATGTTTATCTACTAATTAAAAGAAAAAAGTATGACACTAATAGACAATGGAATACTACTCTGTCATTAAAAAGATGACATTGTTGTCATTTGCAACTACACACGTAATTGGCGGTCATTGTGTTAACCTAAAATAAGCCAGACACAAAATAACAACCACAACATGATTTCATCCATAGACGGAATAAAAAAGGAATTGATCTCATAGAAAATTAAGATAGAATTGCTGCCAAAAGTCGGGGTGCATTATTACTTGTTTTGTTTCTTTATAGAAGCAGCCTAGATTCCCACTTAGTGTCTGCATACATAAACAGTTGCCAGATGACAAGAGGGATTGTTCTCGCTCTCTCTTTTTTTTTTTTTTTTTTTTTTTGATGATTCAGAGATGTAAGAAAATGGTCTTGGTGATCTATGATTTTATTTTGTAGAAGAAACGAAAATCCAAAAAAAAAGAACACGTGACTTTCATTTTAAAGGTTATTCTCAGGGCTGTGGTGTGGCAAGTGAGGCTGACACCTGCAACTCCAGCATCCCATGTGGGTGACAGTTCAAGTCCTGGCTACTCCACTTCCAATCTAGCTTCCTGCTAATGCACCTAGGAGAGCATTGGAAGATGGTTCTAGCATTTGGGCACTGTTACCCATGTGGAAGACCCAGAAGACGATTCTGGCTACGGACTTCAACTGACGTGGCCATTTGAGGAGCACATCAGAGGGAGGAGAAAGGGTCTCTTTCTCTCTCTCTCCCTCTTATTCTCTCACTCTTTAATTCTCCCTCTCTGTAAATTCTGCCTTTCAAGTAAATAAGTAAATAAATTTTTAAAAATTATTCTCAAAGTATTTTAAAGAATTTTCTGGCCATAGTCTTTGAACTTCCCTTATTTTTAGATTAACAAATAGTGATTGGCCAGATCGCTGCTAGACAGGAGTAATTGATTATTCATACACAAATTTATTACAAAATTATTGAAGAGCATTAAGAAGGAATAACCATTTGCAAATTCCTATTTGGAAAAACACAGCTGTTTGGTTTATTGGAACATGTTTTTCAATATATTTTTCAATGCCAGTCCTGACTGCAATTATGGGTGATAGAATTTTCTGAGAAAATAAACAATTTTTAACTATGATTTAAGTTCTCATTAATTTGTATTAAGTACACATCAATGTTTATTATTCTCAAAGGAAACAGAACTAGAAACACAACGTTTAGCAAGTCACTGTGTAGGATGTTGTTATCTACAACTGAGTGCAAATTCCGTCTTCTTTTTTTCTGCTGAATTTTTCTTCCTTTTGGGCTGGAGCTATTTTCTTTCAAGAAATTTGGAATCTTTTGCATAACCCAGGCACCATCTAGTGGTAACAGATGAGAAAATCTAGCTAGGTAAAACTGCAGTAGCTCCTTGGGAACAGCTGACCAAAACAGGTTTCCACAGAGACTACACCTAAAAAGAGCTGCTATTTCTTTTTAAAGAACTAAACTCTCAGAAATGGTTTGCATGAACTTTGAACTACTTGTTTATACCCTCTGTACTTATCAAATGGATTACTTACAGTAAGAGGAAGAAATATTTTCCTATTTTATATATTGAAGTTCACTGGGGACGATTCTAGCTGCTTATCATATT